AACAAACATAGCGACAACAACACAGACAGAAATAACGGGATACAAAAAAGTCATATTTTCTCACCTTGCGGGATGGTTTCTTCAACGTCAAGCCTCCACCTCGTTGTCCGATAGCCCTTCGCCTCCGGCCTGCAGGAAAAAAACGTTACACGTTAGCGGTAACAACAAAACAACGGATACAAGTCGGCACGCATAAACCAACATCACGATGGGTTTCCGACGGGTGGGGGCTTTGCAACAGGTGGTCGGGGCGACGTGAAATACACCACTTTCCCGATGCATGTGTGCATATAACAAGGACTGCTTTCCGCAAGCTCTTGTGAATACATGACATGGACGACAAAAACGCATCGGAAGCCACGATGCATGCTTGGTGAGGGCAAGCCTCGGTGTGATACCGAACCCGTTCGTGTTGCACAATCGAGGCAACCATCTGCTGCGCAACCCACAGATCTGAAAACAACGTACAAAAACAACGGATATACATGTACATAAAAATCTCTATATACACTGCGGTGCAAAGTTACCTTGATGATGGTCCAGTAGATGACGGCCTTGGCCCGGTCCGAGTGGTTCTCGAGGCGGTAGACGTTGTTGACGGGGACGTAGAAGTGATCCCCCGGAGAGAGCAGGAACCTCTGGGCCGTCTTCGCGTCGAAGGTGGTTCTCTTCGTCTGATCAAGTGCCATACAAGGCAACGGGTAAAGGCATGGGTGCGAAAACGGGGTGGTGCTGTTGTCTATCATAGGAGCCAAGGGGGAAGAGCGAGCGGCCGGCTGCTGCTGTCGAGATCTCGGGTTTCGTTCTCTGTCTCTTACCTGCAGTAAGCAGCCCGATAAAGTGGGTTCACGTACATGTTGAGATTGCGATAAGAGATTTTGATGCCACTGTACCGGTAGTTCCACTATATCCTATTTGCCGCTATATCGGGCTGAGTACTGCTGTACCTTTTTTCTCCCACCTCTCGCCGTCTCAACACGATCGATATGTTTTACAAGAGACCCATGCAAAGGGGAAAGGGAACAATACTAGAACATATGAGCAAGCGAAAACTCGTAGACAAAGGAGAAAAATGAAACAGAGACGAAAGACGAACAGGGGGAAAGGGCCGCAGGGGATAAAAAGTGAAACCGGTCCAAAGTGGCCAGAAATGAAACATGAAAAAAGGTCCAAACAACACGGAAGGGTACAGAAATATGCAGCACGGAGAGGAATCGAATGAAGTGAAGCTGGACGGAAAAAAAAAAGGGCACATTGACGGCTACACCAAACGGTATACAGGTGCTCTGTATATCCCAGCAGCGATGCACACTTGTAAAATGGCCAACAGGGCTAGCGTCATTGAGTATTGAGGTCGTTCGTGTCCGGCTCTTTATCCGATTCCTATCAAAGCAGCATGTTTTTCGCCTTTTACTTGATTTCGAAAGGAAACGGAGGGAGGGAGTTCAGACTGGACGAGGAGCCGTGACAAGGGCGGACCCCAACAATTGAGGGTGTTCTTTGCCAGCATACTTGGTGTAATTGCCCCTGGCACTAGGTACGGATCTGCGGAGACTACGGGGCGTTCGGGCGTTCGTAACCAAGTGGGGATGTGTTTGTAGAAGGGCGACGATTCCCAGTCTGCCGTGCGTGGGCCATCGTGGTCTCTCGCTCGCAATCACCCAAGGTCTTGAGTCAACCTCTTCTCCGCGTCTCTGACGACAAGCACCGACTACCCAAAACAATTAATCGAGGAAGTTCCCTGTTGGTGTCGGTACGGTATTGGTTCGGGGCTTTAGTGTCAACCAGGTCCTCCGGTTCGGAGCCACGGGCCACATGACTATTCGGGAATATCGGGCAATGTGCAAGGGGGGTTATTTGTGACAACCAGTGTGCGGTACTTGACGGGGATGGACCCACCACCGGTACGCTGTTAAAATGCGATGCAGTCGATTTCCTACCAGCGTACCGGTGGTGGGGCCAAGAAGAAATCCAACGGTCCCGAGGTTGGTCATTATTCGGTCCCCTTACCGTGTTGCGCGATAAAACAAGTCACGGTTCTCTCCACGGTTTTTACGGGAATGCGCTGAGCGTCAGTCTGCAGGAGATGACTTGCTAAGTTCTCGCGGTCAAAGAAATTAGCTCGTCAACGGTCTCTGCCAGGCTAGGTAGGGGCTGGACGTTCCCGTTGGTTGGAAACGCGAAAGTCGTAAGTACCATGACAACGAAACACAACAAACATATTATTTTCAATGCGGACTCGCGACTTCTTCGGAGATATGGCGGGGTGACTTGTAGCTCATACCCCAGCGAAACCAATCGGATGGAAAACGAAGGCGGTTGGCTCCCAATGGATCGATGGCAAGGAGGAAGAGGAGTACCCACTGATACGCAACAAGACACAAGCAGAGTCAGAGACAGATACAAGTTCTGTTGTTGGCTTTGGCCCTTCAGATGTTCAGAGAAACGGTGGTAATAGAGAGAGAGAGAGCCCAGAGCCCAAGAAAGACTTGCAGGGACGGCCGTGATGAAGCTAGCTAGTAGCAGCAGTCTCCCTAGGCGCAACACGAAGTCGGATAGAAAGGAACCTGGCACTGGGCAATGATGCTATTTTATCATTGCGTTGGAGAAACAGATGGTGCAACAGCAATGCTGCTTTGCGGTATTGAGCATTCTCCTTGCACATACCTCGGAAGCAAGACACTAACACTACTGCTGTCGTCCAACTCCTGCGCCTCCCCCAGTCGGCAGAACCCTTTCACTACAAAGTGAGTTCGCGTTGTTTATACCGCCAAAAAGACTGGTGTCTTTTCATTTGTCCGCCGGTTACTTTGGTCGATGCCATCAATAATACGAGAAATAAACACACACAGATTCCATTGGTCACCCGGTTAGCGTGACCTATTTGCAAGAAATACATACATCGAGATAGAGCGCGAGGGAGATAGATAGAGAGATAGATAGAGAGATAGATAAAGATATATATATAGAGAGTATATATATATATAGAGAGAGAGAGAGAGAAAGAGCTATTGTATCTGCAGCCATAGCCAACCCTAGTAGAGCAACAGCAGCCACAGCACACACCAACCAAGAGCAACAGCGCCGGGGCATGCACAATATTCGAAGTTCGTTCCCCCGCCCGTGTACCTTCTTGCTGGGCATAGCGATGGCGATCTCGAGCGCGTCCGGCTGCCCCTCCGCCACCACGTAGATCTGCGTGCTGAGCGCCACGTGCTCCGAGTCCTTGATAGCCCCCGGAGGCAGCTCCAGCCGCCCCGTCAGCCACTCCGATATGCCCACCTCGGGGCCCACGAGAAACGCCTGCCGCCAAGGGTAAGGGTAAGCAAGGGCCGATAAGGAGAGAGGCAAGGCCGAGGTCCACCGCGCGTGCTTACCGAGTCTGTTTCCCCGTTGTCCTGACCTGCTGTTTTGATTTTCTCGAGATATGCCAGGAGCGTTTCTACGTCTTGATGAGCGGCGGGACACAACTTTGTGTCTGTTTGTTCCGACGATTGGCTGTGCCTTGTTGTTGGGGATACCTTGTGGCCACGGAAAAGTCTTTTCTTAGACTTTGAAGAGCGGGGAAGGGGAGCGAACGGATAGAGAGATCAGCCCCGGTGCATAACTGGAAGATAGCAACACGTCACCACGATCACCACCACCGACGATGTTGTGGTGTGTGGTGAGCGAACAAACGTAGGTGTTCGTCAAAAGTGGTAGCGTCCAGTTTGCACGCCGAGATGCCGAGATGCAACCTTCGGGCGATACTTTGTAAAGCTGGGGTCAACGATAGCTACATCCAACAGACATGTGGGTATTATATTTTGTCGGCGGTTCCACGCCACTCAGCAAGAGATGGAAGCATGGCAAGCTCAAGACCCAACCGGTCAACAGCACCTGAGCCGCCTGTCCGATCTTTTCCTTGCCCGGTGCCCTCTGGTGCGTCGCGGTCACGTCGTGGGAGACAAGGTTTGAGCTGCTCATCACCACCTCTGGCGTACAAAAAAAAAGGTGGGGGCACAGCAGTTCATCTGTAAGTAATGGGGGGGGGGGGTGACGGGGTGACGAGAGGAACGAAACGGTATGGCGGGGCTTGTCGTGGATCCCCTAACTTAGGGTGGTTCTATCGCAGATCTTGCTTCCTGGTAAAAGGGGGGGGGGGGGGGGGGGGGGAAAGAACTTGGAAAAAGGGTTTCAAAAAACCCCAAGGGGGAAAAAATAGGGGTTTTTTTCCAAAAAAAAAATTTTGAAATTTTAAAAAAAAAAAAAGCTTTTTTTTTTTTTTTTAAAAAAAAACGAGGGGGGGCTCCTCCAGGGGATTTTAT